CTGGAGTTAATGCTCTCCATCAAATTCTCTTTTAGGAAAATGGTTGTTAAAGTGTGTACTCTTTCAAATATCTTTGGTTTTAGACTCTTCAAAAAATTGTTGTTTAAATTCAATAAATTCAAATTATCAAGCCCTTCAAAAACTCCATACTCTAAGGATTTTATTTTGTTATGCTGGAAACTTAGAGAATTTAATTTAAACACACCAAAGAAAGCACCAGGCTCGATTATTTCTATTTCATTGTTGTCTAGATGCAGTGAGAGGAGATCCTTCAGACCGCTGAAGGCATTTCTCTTTATTGTGACAACACCACAATGAACTATGTCAAGTTTCCAGAAATTAGGCAGTTTGAGGTCTGAGAAAGCATTGGCTTCTATGGTTCCTATATTAAAAGACTGGAGCGACATCGTTTCAATTTGAGGTCCAAAATGACCTGGTAGATCCTCGATTCTACCGCTGATGCATCTTGCCCAGGGACCAAGACATTTGCAACTTCTTGAACACGTCGGAGACAAGTCAGTGACGGAGGACTGGGCAAGATGTACGATAAGAAGTACAGCGCAAGCAGATCCCAGACGCAGCAGCATGGTCTACAAGAACAAGCAGAATAAAAGACTTAATATTATTAATATATTCCATATTTTAAAAACTTTGTTATTTTAACGTCTATTGAGCTCATCTGCCCAATGAACCCCAACCTGATATGTATAATATCCGAGACGTCATCAAAGTTATTTTCCGGCATAATTTATAATTATAGTTACAAATCATATGGTATAAGAACCATCGACCAAAGAGATACTTGTCTTAACGCATAAAAGAAAATGGAAAGAAGTCAGCACACGTGCTGAAACTTTACATACCCTCTTCCGCAATAACAACTAAAATTGGAAAATTAACTTTTTCAAAAAATTGTAAAATAACTATTTTCTGAGTGAGGATTTGGCAAAAGCAAAGAACATTTCCAACAAATTAAGCACAATCTAAATTAATTTATGTCTGTTATCAGTGGCTACAAGTGTCTATGAATTTAGTTCTGACGTAATAAATGTACTTCGCTGTTAGACTGATTTTTGGGTTATTTGTGTTCCTTCGGCTGCACTGGTCATGTTTGTTCGATGGCCGTTGACACGAGGTATTTGTGAAATATTTTTCCTGCTTGTTGAGCCAGTACGTGGACACAGGAGGCGGGTACCAGTAGAACGAGTCCTCAGTCCTCTCACCGAGCAGGGCTACCACCACAGACTTGAGAGGGATTTATTTAAACGTTAAACGCAACTAATTCATATAGGGATATTTATAAAGTAAAAATTCTACCCCGTGTTTCGACCTTTATAGTTTAAATTAACTTAGTGTAAACTCCCAGTCACTTTAAAATATGGCCTAAATAATATTTTCACTTCAGAAACACCGGAGGTTTCATGTACCATGATTGGACACCATGAAATAATTCACTGAAGACGGAATTCTTGATAGACTTACTTAAGCAGCAATATTCCACCAGCAAAATCCGAAGTTGTATTCTCTGTTGTCAGGAAGTGTTTGTTACCTCACCGGAGTAAATACTTGTTAGCACTGTGTTCGTAAATATAGACTACCAATTTGCACTAGTGGCCTTAGACTCAGACGACTGATACGCCGTGGGCGACACGCACGGTACTGCGACTGAAGACAGGAAGAGCTCGATTTTTATCTATGAAGCAAACTTAGCTTTCCGTTTTTGTACTGCACCGTCTGGGTAAAATGTGACGCATCAATGACTACACGTGATGATAATTGCTAGTTGCGACAACAAATTCAGAAGAATCTTCATGGAGCGCGTGTACTTCAGTATCGGGTAAAAACGCATTCGTTTCTTCCATACTCTTCAATTTTTTTTCGAACGGCCAAATAGTACCATGCATGTAACCAAATTAGGATTGGCCCGAATTGGTGTAGTTCAAGTAAAGGGGGATGTCCTAACACGGCCTACTTCGTAACAAGACTGTCGAGTCTTAGCTCGTAGAACATAGACTTAGCTTTGTTGTTTAACTTGTAACGCTGTCATCTTAATACAGCTCATAAATGTTGAGCAACAGCAGAATGATTTTTTCTGAGCGATTAATAAATAAACGTGTAAGATTTGAGGTGTTCACAGCGGCGAGTATGAAGATTCCCGTCTTCTGGGTTGTTGCGCTGTGTAGTCTGGTCGATGTTAACCAACGTTTCAGAGGTTATACTGCCTCCGTCATCAAGGCGATGAATATTCATCGCCCTGATGACGGAATCTTAATAAATAAACGTTCAGTAAGTGCATTTGCTGTTCCAAAGACATCCTGAGAAACTATGTCTCGTCTTAAACTCAAGTAACAGAAACGTAAGTGTAACCGGCGCAAAAACCGGCAAGAGATATCAATGGTCTGAAGAGAAGTTGAAGTAGGCAATGGAAATTAGAAGGTCTAATATTAAGAATGTCGGTTCTTCAGACGGTAGGATCTTACGACGTACCTCGTCCAACATTTCGAAATAATTTAACGTCAAGCAAGTTGTCAAACGAAGTGGAAAACCAGGTCATGTATACTGCGTTCCAGCGTTCTTGCCCGCTGAACTATGTGAATTGGACTCTCGGAGCGAGTCACTTAGTTTGCTGGAAGGGATGGCAGCAGGCCGCGTACGGGTCACGCCAAATAAAATATCACCACGTTATGCAACACAGAAAAGTTGATTTCACTACACTAAAAATCAACATTACAGAGAGTATTTGATAATTTAAATCTTCTTCACAACTCTTCGGCCCTCTTCTACTTCTTCCACTCCTCACACACCATCGCATTCTGACATATCACTCGAATCATTACTACCGCTGCTGCTGTCCACTCAATTATATGTATTATAAATATTAGTGACAAAGCGTGACTAGGCGTGACATCCTTTAAAAGCGTGAAGAGAGGAAACCGAAAGTGTTAAAACATCACCAAGATTTTAAATGCGTGACCAAGCGTGACTACGCGTGACGTATTGTAATGGCGTGACGAGAAGTGGCCATAACTGTGGAAACGTGACGAATCTTTTCAATACGTTACCTAACATAACCTAAGCGTGACAAAGCAAATTGTCAAAACGTTATTTAACCTAATAAAATACACTAAACAAAATTAACCTAACCTAAACTAACCTAATCCAACCCAACCAAACCATAATCCAACCAAACCTAACAAAACCTAACCCAACTTAATACAATCTAACGTAACACAACTTATCCTAACTTAACGTAAGCAAATTCATAACCTGACTGAACATGTCGGAACTTAATCTAACATATTGCAAAGAAGTATAAATTAACCGAGACTTGTGTAACATAATGTAAGCGTGCCGAAGCGTGACTTAGTGACCACGTGTGCTCAAGAGTGACAATGCGTTACCAGGTGTGAACCGCTTTGACCTCGTGACAAGAAATCACCATATGAGTTCAAACGTGACGAAAATATGCGAAGCGTGACCAAGTGTGACAAAGCGTGACTAGGCGTGACCTGCTATTAAGGCGTGACGAGAAGTCACCATAAGTATTAAAATAGAACGAAAACTTGAAAAGAGTGTCTAAGCGTGAGAAAGCGTGACAAAGCGTGACTAGGCGTGATATACTGTAACGGCGTGACGAGATGTGGCCATGAGTGTCGAAACATGACGAATATTTACAAAGCGTGGAATAGCGTGACCAAGCGTGCTTAAGCGTGACAAAGCGTGACTAGGCGTGAAATACCCAAACGGCGTGACGAATTGTTGTCATAGGTGTCTAAACTTCACAAAAATTTTCGAAACGTTACCTAAACTAACAAAATACACTAAACAAACCTAACCGCCCTAACCTAACCTAACCCAACCTACCCTAACATTACGTAGGCGAATTTATAACCTAACCTAACATTTCGAAACCTAATCTAACATATTGCCAAGTGGCCAAAATTAACCGAGCCGTACGTAACATAATGTAAGCGTGCCGAAGCGTGACTTAGTGACCACGCGTGCTCAAGCGTGACAATGCGTGACCAGGCGTTACCCGCTTTGTCCTCGTGACAAGGGATCACCATATGAGTTCAAACGTGACGAAAATATGCGTAGCGTGACCAAGCGTGACAAAGCGTGACTAGGCGTGACCAGAAGTCACCATAAGTATTAAAATAGGACGAAAATTTCAAAAGACTGACTAAGCGTGAGAAAGTGTAACAAAGCGTGACTAGGCGTGACTAGACTTGATATACTATAACGGCGTGACGGGATGTGGCAATGAGTGTCGAAAAATGACCAATATTTACAAAGCGTGGCCAAGCTTGACCAAGCGTGAGTAGGCGTTACGTACTGTAACGGTGTGACGAAAAGTGTCTTAAGTGTCAAAACCCGGTGGTTCGTAGGTGCATTATCATACCCTTAGTGTCCTCAGACGGGCGACAGATGTACTACAATGTAAATATTACCCATAATTAATTTCTACTTCGTACGAATATCATACTTCTGGTGTCCTCATACGGTTAAAATACACACTAATCTCAAAAGCAGATATATCGATAAATCTGTGTTGGTGAAAGTATGCCAGTATGTTTGTTTATCGCGATAAGTGCAGGGAGAATTTCAATTTCTTATAGTTTGATTTAATCTACATGAAACGTAATAGCTAAATGAACGTCAGCAGTATTGTTTTAGTCGTTTGTATTTCATTGTAAAACACAGATTTAATGCAGTTTTTATGTAATAGGTAAGCTCATATTTGTATTGTACCACACTCGAAATCGACTCTGTAGATAGTAATTGAAATAAGCGGTATGAGCTGTTGCTCTTCACCATCGAAGCGATTAATTCATCTGTGTGGAGAATCCACGGATGATGTTTTGAAGAGCTTTGGAAAATTGTAGTGTTGTGTACATCTTATTGCAGTTGATAAGATAAATCTCATTACTCATACATGACGGCATGAGATTCAGAGTCAGTGAATTAGATCTGTTAAAGGTGATGTTCTTTTCAACGAGAATTATAGCCCGGAGGGCAAGTGTTTTCCTTTCGCTTTTAAATAGATCGCACCATGTTAATGTATACCAGTTCACAGTGCTAGAACTGTGTATGTATGCCGAGAAATCACAAAATGATGACTTATTTTAATGTATTGTCTTTGTAGATTGATAACAGCATTCCTTATTTCGCTTAGAAATAAAGCTGCAGAAAGAGAAACTACTTTCCATTAAAGAATGGTTGGAAAACTATACACCCAAGTGAATAGCAATTTATTTGTGAAAGTTACATTGTGTCACCTTGATGGTCATTGTTCTCAACTAACCTCTAACACGTAGACACTGTAATTTAGTCTTTAAGCAAAGGTGTAAAGTTCTTGCTCAATAACTGCAGGTAGTTCTGATACATAGTATTGACTTAGTGAATGTAGTAGTAGAGTGTTTTAGATGACTCATGAATGCTAATTCTTCTTTCAGGTGGGCTTTACATATTTTCCCATACTTTTCTTTATGCATTCAAAAATAACAATCAAAATCAGTAAGAGATCATGCTTCAATTTACTGCATATTCTTCTGCAAGAGAGAAGCAGTGGTGTGGGATTTTTGAAAAAATAATCATCATTTGTTGTAGTATAATTATTACTAGATGACTTGCTTTACAACTGACACAACTGATCTGTTTCACCTGTTTTTTGGATTTTTTGACCAAGTGAACTCACTCATCCATGCAACTCCACCCAAAAGAACAAAATCATTTTTGAGTGCATGCCATTTCTTGTGGAATTACGTTTAAGCTGTACTAGGGACATAGATATTTGCTCAGTTATGTGTGAGCATCGACTGTTTTGCGGTGAAGTCAGTTTAGATGTTTGAGGATGACATGGAGGAGATGAGAAATGTGTACAAAATTTTGGTTGGAAAGCTTGAAGGCAAGAATAGAAAGAAGACCTTTCTGTAGGTGAGGATGCTGTTGAGGTGGATTTAAAGGAAATAATATAGGAGGGTGTGGGTGGGTTGGATTCATCTGGCTTAGAATATTTATGTTATGTGCTGTTTTGAATATGATAATGAACCTTGAGGTTTTGTGAACAGTTGTTGTTTTAGCTGAGTGAGTATCAGCTTCTGAAGAAGGACTTCCCTCCATGTAGTTAATGATTTTATTCTTATATTTATTGTAATGTTTTAAAATAAGTGATACTGAGAAGATAATTTGGAAACACATCATATAACGTGTAACATACTGCAAAAAGGAAATTTGTGTGTTAAACATAAATTAAATCATTTTTGTGTCCAGCCTCTAGTAATATGTAAGAATATTAGTAAGTTGTGTTAGTGGCACGTAATTTTCGATTTTCAAGATATCAGTAGCATGTTCCTTTTATCTCAAGGCTGTCTCCAATAGATTCTAATGTAAGAACCAAAGTAAACAAACTGATAAAAGTCTTGGGGTTAATCAGCAGATACAGTGTGGCGAACGAACACTGCTCAACTTACCACAAGCGTCATGGGTTCCTCAAGCTCTAAAACACTGAAATCTTCAAACAAGAAAGGTAAATGAACAGCATTAATGTATTAAGGTGTCTCTGTAGATGCATGAATGTGAACTGTAGCTGGGAAAGGGTTCTTCACTTGTGGCTGATGGTTCAAGTGACCTGCCACTATCTTTTGTGTGGCCCTCTTACATACAGTTTTGCAATATTGTATCACCGTGTTTAATGAGAACATGGTTGTCATTTTAATTAAATATTTAATTGCAAGTGAATAATTGACAGGAATCGTGTTAATTTGAAAGGGAGGGGAAGAATGAAAAGGGAATAGGAAAGAAAAAATCGTTGAAGCCTTGTTATAAAGGAATATGGACAAGGTAGGGACCATGAGACCTAGGAACTTCAAGGAATGTAGATTAAAGTGTCAGAAAAAGAGTTAAGGACAGATTGGTTAAAGAAGTGGACATGTATTTATTTGGGAAGTAACAATTCAGAAGGGAAAATTGATAGAGAGAGAGAGAATAAAAAGATACAAAATAATTCTAAATTCTGTCACACTGTGCAATAATATGGAATGGAGAGATATCAAAACAGTGCAGAAATGTAATTTATAAAGTGAACTTTAAACCAGTTTTAACATTTAATGCTGAAACATGGAGTCTTACAAAGAATTTTATTTGAGCATGTTATCTCATGGAAGTAAAATAGGTTTTATCTATGCAGTTTCTGTTGAACTACATGGGCAGATTTTCAGTTGTCACATATCTTAATCTTTGTAAATGAATGGAATTGGTTGTACGGCTTGTATTAGTTTTTGTAACAACTGAAAAGTAATATGCAAAATGTAACCTGTAAAGGTGTTTTGTTTACAGTACACTAAAATTCTAAAGGTGTGTTTCATGCTACATCATTTAGGTAATTGTTGCACTCTTATTTGAGACCTAGTTGTGCATGTGTCCTTAGGTCATTGTTGCACAAACGCGGTTGTAATTGTGTAACAGTGTATTCCAACAAAGATCTTGTTTAACATTTCCATGTGAATGTTGTCGGTGTTGAACCTGCAGGTTCTGTTATGTGAGTGTTTCAACAATGGGACCACTGCTCCCTTTGTTGAACAACAGTGACTTTGGTCATCCAAGATGTGTACCTGCTAAGGAAAATGTGACAGACAGACATACATATATACATACATCTACCTGCAAGTAAACATGCAAAGACAAGACAAGTAAAGACCAACATCAACTTTTCTGATCTCGCCATCTTCATGATTGTGCTGTGAATGTAAGATGACGTTGGAAACAGAACAGTGCACAAGTACCTTCTTTCTTTATTTCCAGAGCATAGGGCCTCCTTTCAGAGGTTTCCTTGGTCTTTTGATGTGTGCGGTACAGGTACCTAGTCACAGATTTTTTTTGTGTGCAAATCTTTAAATAATGAAGATAAACATTTATGCCAGCAGATTAGTGATAAGTTAATATCAGTACTTCAACTTAATGTTTGATTAATTACATCTGCCTCCCCCTCCTCTTCCTCTTACTACTGACACTGATATATTTGTAGTTCTTATTACACAAATTTAATTTTCCTTATCAATTGCTGTAACACTCATGCAATCAGGATATCACTGTCTTGATTTTTATTTGCAGCTTTATCATGATCTAATCTAATTTGAGTGTATGACCATAGACAGGTGTACAGGGCAAAGATCTATAGCATAAGTTGTAGAAGGCTTTTTTAACTTCATGAATTACTTAGGTGTTATTAAAATCACAACATGATGAAGTGAGGGCAGGTTTGAGATTAGCTCGACCAGGAGATCCAACAGATTATTAGGCTTTTGTCCTTTCATCTGAAGACAGAAGTAGAACCAGCTACTTAAGTGTTGTAGTTTTAACATCTAGATGGTGGATGACGTCTCCCCCCCTCCAAGAAAAGAACAATTTAACACAATGTGTCACACCATCACTACTGGAAACCTTCAAACATTGATGTTAGGAGGCTGTCTGCTTTTGCTTATCTTCCACTGTTAATATTACACTTCTATTTATGTATATTTTTGGTCTAAGATATATATTCTTGAAATTATTATGACCTTCAGTTTGGGCATATATTTATACATGCAGTCCTATTTTGTTCCCTTGTCCCTTTGCTCAGCTGCAAAGTTATTACCATCTAGAATAAACTTTGTGTGTTTACTGTTTTTGTGGGTAGAGGTCCAGACAGTCACTCATTTCAGAATCAGATAATGAACAAGCAAGGAACAATATGTTATATTGCAAATTGAAGTATGTAATGAATTTCCAATGGAACTACTGTTTTTGCAGGTAAGATGAAGGCTTCAAATGATGACTATGTGGAAGCCATTGTGTGTCAAGAATCAGATATACAAGAAAACCAGTAAGTATATACATTGTTTTAATGTTTGTGAAATTAACTAAGATATTTTCTGTACTGTTGAGAGGACTGTCTTCTGGAATGTTGGGCCATGTTGTCTCGTAGCTGTTCACCAAAGTTGCTTAGTGTAAGCATTTTAGGGATGTCAGTCAATATCTGCCAGACTACACAGCACAACATGTCAGAACACAACCATCTTCATACTTACCACAGTGAGAACCTGAAATCTAATTTACTGTACTGTTGTGTAATGAAAGGTGTTTTCTTAAAAATATCCATGGAGCTGAGTTCTTGTTAAGTTAATTATCACTCAGCCTGTCAATAAATTACCTTTCATGAAATTCAAAGGTTTATTACAATGTTTTTAAAAATCCTGCCACTGGACTTAAACTGGTAAAATAACTGCTAGAATTTAGTAAAACAGTAATATTGTGGTGAGCAAATGACAATGGTTAATCAAATTAAGATTACACCTAAAACACTCCATTTGCCAGGCCAATCAACAAGTCCAGTGCTTTCCAGATTTTTTGATCTGTGGAAACTTTCAGGTCAAAAAGCAGAAGTAACAGAGCTCTAAACCAAATTTAAAACCCACCCCTCTAATAAAAATGTAGGAGGATGATATTATATGGTGGCAAAGTGAAAACAATGGAAATAAAATTTAATATTTTATTATTTACTTAAAATTAGTGAGAGGAATGTTTCTTAATTGTCTTATTGCAAACTTTCCAAGTAATGGAAGTAATACTAGGAAATGGATTTTTATAATACAAGCAATTTAAATTTGTTGTGACATTGTATTATAAACGTCTGGTTCCATAAAAGTATATTGTAATGGAGTGTATAAATGTGCACATCACATTTTAGGTTAAGTACTCTTGTTTTAAACTGTCCCTGAAATTTGTTGAGGGAAGGTATTTGAATAATTTCTTCATTGTGAATGAAGAATTAACTTTCTGTTTCAGCTTGATTGATACCGAGAGTGGTGTCTATAAAAATACATAATCTTAATGGGAACATAATGAAACATTTGAAATTATCACCCAAGTGTTAAAAAATGCCTGTTGATTCCTACTTTTCTTTTGTGGGCTCTTTTATGTTTATATGTACTGGCAATATAAAGTCATTCAGAAGTTTTGCTTTCTATGCATCTGGACCAGAAGTCAAAAGAATTTACTTTGGAACACAGTTTTCAGATGAATGTAAAGTGACGGTTTATGTTGGTGTTCATGTTGAAATGTGCTATTAGAGAAGTATCTCACTAGAACATAATTTGGAATTACTGCACTAAATTATTATTTAAGTTTAAGTTATCGTCATTTTGGTACAGCATCTCTCTTACAGGACCAAAATAGTTCAAACTTCAATGAGTACATAATAAAATATGTGTCCATTTACACCTTAGGATGAAGGCATTTGAACTTGGAGATGCGGGTAAAATTCTTCTGGTGAAACAGAATGGAAAATTATCAGCAATAGGTTCCAAATGTACCCATTATGGGGCTCCTCTTCATGCTGGAGTGCTGGGTAGTGGGAGAGTCCGTTGCCCATGGCATGGTGCTTGCTTCAACATTGCTACAGGTAAGCATGTCAGGGTTTAGAAAGTATACATATTTAGAGTTGATATAAGCATATTAACTTTTTTCCTTGATATGATCTCAAAGTACATTCTTTTTATTTTAGCAGAAAAATATTAAACAAATTTTAAAGCTCTGTACATGATTCTCATAAATTGTGAGATTCTTTTTATCTGAGCAAGGCCCACAGAGATGCTTTTAGTAGGATGCAGTCAGTTTAATATTATTTATTCTCCACTCATGAGAACATTTACTCTATTACATATCTTATGCAGGTGAAAGAACAGTTTTATGTAATAAATTCAGAGTTTGAACTTTGTTTTTGTTCTAGTCTCTTACTTGATTTGATGATGATGTACGACTGCAGAGGTTATATGGTGTTAAGTGAGATATGGAAAGTTGATGGTGATTTGGGAGGAAGTTATTATTAAAACAGTTCAAGAATTTTTGTAACAACAATAAACTAGCAACAGAGAAATACAGACTACAGAGATTTGGATTGTGTTAACATTGGCATGTTTTTTATTTAAGAATTCTGGTTCACACATGTGCAGAATTATAGTTACCATGAAAGTACCACACCACTTCAGGTCTGTTCTTACTTGCCTACTATAGAACTGAACTATGGTTAAATTGAAATACAGAAGTATTGCATCATTATTGTGAATTAAGGAGTTTTGATGATGACAGAAACCTCTGAACCACGCGTCATGTTGTTTTACAGGAGACATTGAAGATTTTCCAGGACTGGACAGTTTACCTTGCTACCAGGTAGTGGTCCAGGATGGAGGAGGTGTGAAAGTGAGGGCCAAGAGGAGTGAAGTAAAATCCAGCAAGAGGGTTAAGGAAATGGTTTTGAGGGATAAAGCAAACAACACTACTTTTGTGGTTGTTGGTGGAGGTAAGTTTTAATCACCTCCATGTTGTTCAAAATGTGTTCCTCGTACATTCTCGTTATACTAGTGTATTAGGTGAATGGAAGTTAGAAACAGAATTTTACTTATAAAACTTACAGTATGATAATATCACATTGCCACTATCCCAGTATTTGCACGATAATTGCAAGAGGATGCATGAATTTTTGAAAAGCACAAGATAAATTAAATGGTCTCAAACAAATGTTTCTGCTTTTGAATGTGTTCTTAAAGAGTCAAGATAGCTGAGTATTTTTCATCTTCCATGTTTGAAAGTCTCATAACTCACAAAAGAGCCTTTGCTGTACTCATTCTTTCTTCTTCATTCACTTGTAACTAAATATGTATAATATTTCTGACAAGTTTAAATGATTGTGGTCTAAAAACGTTTTCCCATGTTTTGACAATCCATAAAACACTGCTTCATTAATGCAATGCTACTGCATAAAATGAAAGTGAATCAGTGTTACAATACTTATTAATTATGTGTATAGTCATGTGTTCCAACATATGTCACATCACTGATGCTGACATCTGTCATAGAAATAAATCAGTCTGCTTACTTTATCATCAAACCTCACAGAATGGATCTTGTATTTTACTATGTTTTCTATTAGCTGGTGACACAAATGAGATTGATGTCTCAGTTCCTTGTGACTTGTTTTGAAATTCAAGACTATTATCCCAAGAGTAATAGAGATTATTGCTTACATTCATTTTAAACTTTGATCCTTGATTTATACAGGTCCTGCAGGAGCATCGTGTGTAGAGACTCTTCGTCAGGAAGGTTTCACAGGGCGGATTGTGCTTGTCTGTAAGGAACCGGCTTTACCTTATGATCGTGTAAAAACAAGCAAGGCTTTAGATGTTAAACTGGAGAGTATTACATTTCGAACCGCTGCTTTCTATAAGGTAGGTATTTTAGGTTGGTATGTAATGTGTAGTGTTATGGTGTTAGAAGGTCGGGAAGGTATATCTGAGCTAATGGGGAACATTTTCAGGATATTGTGTAATGCAGGTAAGTAAAATTCACTCTGTGATGTTACATCAGTCTTTCTATCATCACAGATAACCAGTTTGGGAAGGCAGCAACCATTGCATTGTTTGTGTACAGTAGAAAGGCTATGCTCTGGTTTGGCAGCTGAAAATTCTCTCTGTTCTTCATGCCCTTCAAAATTGTTGTAGATGCTGTAACACTTTGCCTATCCAAATCTCATACATCTCCCTAGTAATCTGTAATATTAAAACTGTGTATCACTAGCAGATATGGTATGTATGAATATATTATTTTGTTGTGAGCAACTGTTTCTTTTGAACATTTAATAATATAAAGTTATTGAAGAGCATGAGCCTTTAACATACTTACATATGGCAGAGTGTACTTCTATAATGAAAATTTACAGGTGTCACATAAAGAAGATGCATAAGAAGGAACAAGTTATTACACAAATTAAATATATCTTGGTTGCTTAGTGCAATTAGTATATAATTGATCAGCAATAATTATTGTTTTCAGGAAAATGGAATTGAAGTATTGACAGGCACAGAAGTGACTGGATTAAATCCTGAAACAAAGGTTGTGAAACTCAGCTCTGGAAGTGAGCTGAAATATGATGCTGTCTTCTTAGGCACTGGTTCAGAGTGAGCAACAAGTTGTGATATAATTATTTAGCCAGATTTCTTTATTTTTAAGCTTTCTGTATTTGATAAATAAGTATAGCTTATAAAAATGGTATTTATATGTGCATTTGTCAATCCCTAATGGCTTTAATGAAGGATGTCATACTGTTCCAGGCTACTCCACCTTCACACTTCTCTAATTCCTTACCTTTGATACTACAAATGTGATGTCCCTGAAACTTCTGATGTGGTAGCAACACTGTTATGGTAGCTAATAACAGTTAATGTTACAGGGTTTTCCTTCAGCTGTTGGTAGTTACTCAACTGATTAATGAATTTCTTGCTTGTGGAACTTGATGATTTATCTATATGTTAATAAAACTGTACCTTTTGACCTCATCTTGAGCAAGTTGAATCCAGTCTATACTTTCACAATAAATTCTTCTATGAGCCATTATAATATTATCCTACCAGTTATGCCCAGCCCTCCCAAGTGGTCTCATTCCCCAAGGCTTTCCAGCAAGAACTTTGCCTCTTACAGTAAAAAATTACTTAATGCATTGTATATTTTTACACTTGTTTGGTTTAAATCAGCCTTTTAGACATATTTTGTTTTCCAGCGCTCGTTGGCCTACAATTCCTGGAGCAAGACTGAAAAATATATTTGTGGTTCGAACAATAGAAGACTCATATGGTATTTATGCCCAGCTTGGGCCAGAGAAGAATGTTGTTATTCTTGGAGCATCATTTGTTGGTCAGTGAACATTTTGTTTACTTTATGCCTTTTAATTTAGAGTATTTGAGTTTTGTGCCACTTTTATTTTCCCCCATCCCCTCCACCTTTAAGTGATTGAAGGAGTTCATTCTTCACTTCAATCAACAAATAATCTTCACCTTTTACAGTCAGTTTTGCCATCATTCTATACTTAATAAGGAAAGATAGATGTATGGTATCATGGCTATGTGTTTGTCTCCCCTTAATTACTTTTGAACCACTGGATTGGATTTTCATGAAACTTGCTATAAACATCATGCCACTGTACATGACAAACAATATGCAGAGTAAAACAATATAGTTTCATTCAAAATTGTAATACACACCCATCATGTTACTGTTTCAGGTATGGAAGCTGCTGCATATTGTGTAGAGAATGTGAAGTCAGTGACTGTGATTGGTAGGGACATTGTTCCATTCCGTGCCATTCTAGGAAAGGAGATTGGATCCCGCCTAATGGGACTGCACAAGGAGAAAGGGGTTTTGTTCAAGATGGAATCAGGAGTGGCTCGCTTCCTAGCAGGCCCCTCGGGTGATACAGTGAATGAGGTAGAGCTCACAGATGGCAGCATTCTACCAGCTGACGTATGTGTGATCGGAATAGGGTCTGACCCAGCCACAAAGTTCCTTGATGGATCAGGTGTGAATCTTGACAAGAGTGGTGCTGTAATTGTTAACAAGGTAATGGGGATGATGTTCTTTACATATTGTCTTTTGGAAATCCTATGCAATGATATTAAATGGGTTATCTTAGGGCCAAATGTCACAGCTATAATATTTGGGGATGGTGATGAACCATTTAGTTCCATATTCTTTGCAAACGTTTCCTGTATTACATATTGTTGAGCTTCATGCAGCTTCTGAGCATCTAGTCCATTTGCATTGTCACAGTACATCTCAGTCCATGCCTTGCTGTTGAATTGGCAGCATCTCACACTTAGGCAAAATATCTAACCAAGTAATATGTTCTTCAAAAGGAATCTTCTTGAAATATATTCACTGTTTATTGTTTGTGTTCATGTAGCATTTGGAGAGTAACATAAAGGGTGTGTTTGCTGGTGGTGACAATGCATATGCCCCTATACTAGACACAACTGCATGCATTGGACACTGGCAGTTGGCACATTACCATGGCCGTATTGCAGCACTCAATATGGCAGGCAAACAGACAGAAGTACAGACTGTTCCCTTCTTCTGGACCATGCTGTTTGGAAAAGGCGTTCGTTTTGCAGGTATGGTGTTCAGTGATACTATGAGCCATAATTATTTCAAGCCAGGTTTATGCTTTGTATTTGTTAACAGAAAGCAAAATTAATTATGTTGAAATCTACATTTGTGGCAAAGTTTGTTACTTTGAATTGAAACTTATGTGCAACATGGTCTTAAATTTTATTATGGTGAATGAGAAATAGTTTCCTCTTTTAGGGTATGCACCAAAATACGATGAAGTTGTGATAGGTGGCAGTGTGGAGGAATTGAAGTTTGTGGCACATTACATTGTTGGCGATCGTGTGGCAGCTGTTGCAACAATTGGAAGTGACCCTGTTGCAGCCAAATT